TTTTGGAAATTTGTTTTTGTACCAGTGTCAAAGGCACTGGGGCTCTCTGCTTGCATCAGTACAAATCTGGATTAATGCAGTTAAAGCCAGCAGAATTGTATCCGTGCAAAAGCAGTTAAAATGGGCTCAGAATCAGACTCAGAAAGTTACCCTTGTGTCACTTAGTAAGATATATTTCTTTTGGCTTCCACTTAGATTTGGTCCTTAAGGAGCCTGTCATAAGAGATATATGGTTTGGGCAAGAGGCCAACTTACCGTCTGGAAGAAACAGCAGGGCTCCCATCGAAGTAGTGAACAGGGTAAAATGAGCTTTTGACTATTATTTTGTAATTCTGTAAATATTTGTGATTTTGAACTATTCAGTAAAGTTCCCACTACGCTGTGACAGGATGGAAGGACCTTGTCATCTATGGACTGTGTGGGGAGAAACCTATTTACAGTGATCTTTGAAACAGCTGCCGTGAGATCTTACACTTCCTGGCATGTCACTGCTCAAAAATTTCTAGGAAATTGCAGCTGCTTTCTTAGCCAGGGAGATAAGATGCCTTTGCAGCAGTGCTTTTAAGCCATTGCTTCATCACAGCAGAAAGTTAATGCAATCCTCTCTCTGCCTAGTCCAAGTTCACAGCTAAATTCCCATTGCTACCAGGGCCTGACATTGGAGTCAGCTACTAAGAGCCCATTTGTACAACATTACCATCACCTAACCATTCATTAGGTCACTGGATCCCAGTTGATTCTCCAGATCCCAGGCTTTCAGACTCCTGGCATTGCTTAGGGGCACCCAGGCGAAGCAGGAGTGGGGAGCAGGGATGTACATGGGTTTTGCAGATGGGTGTTCTTGTTAGGAAACTCTTAAAACCAAGTATTTTCTGAAATAAATGTTTTGGAAATACAGTTTCAGATCTGATTAAAAACCAAAAGAATGTTACATATAATTACAGGAGAATCTAGTGTAAGTGACAGTTTCCAAGCATCTTTTGTCCTGTAGGGGAATTTGCTAAACATTTATACCCAAACTAGATTTCTGAGCACCCTGGGGCATTTTAAGCTGCATTTTAAGAGGGAGGGAAGGACTGTATTGCCTGTAAAAGAGGCCAGTTGCAGAGGGCTCAGAAGGAGCTGCAATGCTGCATCAGATTGGGTCTGCAGTCTCAAAGTCTGCAGACTGCTCTTCCATCCTCACTTCAGAGTAAGGCTACATCTGCTCCATGGTGATAATTGAACCCATGTAAACTTAGTTTGCCTTCACCAATGTCAATTTTTACTGCAAAGTGAAGCCACTTAGATGTTGATAATATTTTTGATTAAATCAAACCAGTAGAAGCTACATTTAAATCTATTTAAGTTTAAATTTTATTTACATTGTACCAGTGTAATTGGATTGATTTTAAAATCAAATTTCACTTTAGCAGGGAAATTTTCTTAGAGTAGTTTGCTCAGTGAAGGAGCTTGCCTCTGGAGACACCATGTAACATGCTTTTGTTTGTAGTTCTCATTGACTGTAATGATGTGGTTGAATCAAAAAAACAGCCAAGACTGGAACCATGCAGGATGTGCCACTGTAAACCTTTCAGGCCCCTGACAGTAGTTTTAAGAGAGTTAGTTGGCTTTTGCAATTTTCTGAAGTGAAAGAAGAGGTAATACTTAATTATCAGCAATTTTGAAAGTGATTGACGTTGACAGCCTGAAGGAGAGAATAGATGAGAGAAAAGACCCTGGCAGCTGGAAAGGCCCTTCTTTAGAGAAGGAGGAGGGGCTGCGATGATGGAAGGGGTTAATTCTCTAAGAAAGATAATTTGCATTGCTGCACACTTTATTCTTTTGTTTTTGGTCGAGCTCTCTGTGCTGACTTCTTTGGGGTGTTATTGGCTCTGCTTCCTTGACAGAACAAAGAACCTTTGTTGTCCATCAAAGACCATCCAGATACCCAAGGCCCCAGGAGGGGGAGGTGGACATGGAGGAGCTGCCTGTGTTCCTTCCTCCACAAACAACAGCAATAACATTATTGGCAGCATTTGCAGCATTGCTGAAATGTTTTCAAGGGAAGTGTTCTTCAGCATTTACATCAGTGCAGATAGTGATGTAAATACTGACTTACTAATTTCGAACCCTGGGAGCCCACGCTGTGTTTCTGAAGGTCTGGCAAGTGAGTCTAAACACAGATAATTTGGGATGAAGTTGTTCACAGAGGATTTTGCACCTGATCATTACTGTCTTGTGTGTGTGGATAATAAAGTCTCTTGTCCTGTGTTGTTGCTGGGTCAGAGATATGAGAACGGGTTGAACCTTTGGTGGAATGAAAGTATGATGTGAGGATAAAAGTCTTAATTTGTTCTACTTAATTGTGGAGAATTTGGAACCTTCTGAAGTTGGACCCCTGTCATCATCCACAGTGAAGGGCAGAGGCCTCCCTCTCCCCTTCCAAAACACAGTGTAGCTGATCTAAACTCTGCATCCTTCCTTTGCTTCTGATAATTGCCTAAAGACTCTAAACTTGGCTCCAACCTTAGCAACAGCTACTGGATCCTGCAAATAATGAATCCAGCCATAAACACCTGGAAGCTTTCTTAAGGTTTTTCACTGCCTGGATGTTCTAGGAGCAGCTCATGCATTTATGTATGTATACATCTGTCTGGATGAAGGAGGATTAAATGCAGGATTTTAGCCCTGAGGAGCAAAATCAAGCAACAGGCAACTTTCTTTTACTTTTTTCATTGCCCTACAATTAAAAACCCACCACATGAACACAAATACAATAAAGAAAATGTGCCTAAAATTCAGGCAGATAAAAACAACTGAAAAAAAAGATTTTAAAAAGCCCTCAAGAAAATGAATAAATATTCATGAAAATAATTAACTTTCTTTTACTTTCTTCATTGTCCTACAATTAAAAACCCACCACAAGAACACAAATACAATAAAGAAAACGTGCCTAAAATTCAAGCAGATAAAAACAACTGAAAAAAAGATTTTAAAAAGCCCTCAAGAAAATGAATAAATATTCATGAAAATAATCAAAAGCTCAGATGTTTTCATTAGTCACCACAGGAGGGAAATATTAATTTGAAATAATAATATAAAAACCTTGAAAAAACTTTAAAAAGAGCAAGGGGAGGAACAGCACACCCTCTGCTCCCACAGCTGATGCATGGCTGAGCTGTGGCCAAGGGTTTCCCCTCTAGCTCAGCCTCCCCTGGAGATTTAAATTGTGTGGGTTTAAAATGTGCAGACCTGCTTCAAACCTAACAAAATATCCCTTCCCTCTGAGTTTTTCCTTTTATTCACACCATAGAAACACAGGAAAATAAAAAGGAGTGCTAATCTATCCTACAGTTTCCCAGGCAAGGACTCTGGGCAGGGGTTTGTGAGTGGATTTGACAGATGTACGAGCAGATGGTGAGGGACACTCCCTGAGAGCACCCGATTCCCAGGCCTCTATGTCCAAAAAAATATCTTTTCACGGATAATGGGATTTTCAGAGGGAAGAAATACAGAATTCACGTCTCACACCAGAACTTCTCGGTCATTTCTTGAACGCACAAGGGTTGTGTGGAAACGTTTGTCTTCAGAAAAGAGCTGGCTTGGGCCCATAAACCACAGGGCTCGATCTGACCCTCACAAACCCCAAATTTGCAGCCCGACTTCTCCATCTGGCAAGTTCCTCCATGGCTGCATGGCTACAACTGGCAGCTGAATCGGGATCACCTCCTTGTTTACATTGGGTGTGACATATTAGTCCTGTTTGGCCTTTGCCAGAACGTGCTGTGCAAAATAACACATCCCAGGAATTACCCATTGAATGCACGCATTTCCATCCTGCCCCCACGCTGGGGCACCTCGTGCCAGAGCAGGGCTGGAGCCTCATTAATGTCATTAACGCCTGCTGAACCCCGATACTGCACCAAGGGCGTGAAATGGAGCGGGGGGCTGGGGATTTGACACAAAAAGGTGCTCATCCAATGGAGCAGAAGCTAGAATAAGTTTTGTGATTTATCTATCCTACCCCAGGCAGCATATTTTTAGCTACAAATCAGCAGCAGCTCCCTTTTCGTGCGGGGGGAATCCACGTCGGACCCTGCTGCTGCCTTGCTGGCAGCTCTCAGCCTCTGCACATTACTTTGCCCAGGAGATTTAGCCTTCCTACATTTAATTACGGAACGGTGGGACAGAACCCTTCGGCCCACGTTGTCAGAGCCCTCGGCCAGGCGGTCAGCAGCGGCACAAAGCCGGGGCTCACCACCGCAGCCGTGCCCACGGCGTGCAGGGGGTGGACGGGCGAGGGGCTGCACTAATTAGAAAAAATTAAAAGGGCCCCAAAAGCTTCGGGTCGGAGCAAAGCGAGACAGCGCTTGCTGTCTCCTTTGGGGCTCCTGTGGGGGGGTCCTCAGGCGAAACGTGGCAGGAGCTCGCCCAGGCAGAGGGGCCAAAAGAGGAACAAAAGGCGATGGTTTCCCTCAACCCAGCTCCCAGCACAAGCCTCTGCGCCCCCCGGGAGGCACCGGAGAAGCCAGGGAGGAAATGCCGGTGCCCTCGCGCGTCCTGAGGGGCGAAGGTGCCGCAGGAAGCGCTGCCTCCCCCGGGACGAGCTCCGCCGTGGATGCGGGGGTGCTGTCGGGCTGCTCCGGCGGCAGTGCGGTTCTCAACGAGACCCCAGCCGGGAGAGACCCTCCCACCCCGCCGGGAGACCGAGCTGCGGTGCGGCCGGCTGCAGCCCGGGGGAGGCCGCTGGCCCGGGAAGGGGGGTCGCTGTGGGTAGAGGCCGTCCCGGCGGGGCAGCGCTGCCGGGCACCTCTGGAGCGGAGGACGAGGCGCAGAGCGGCAACACCGGGGAAGCTGCGAGGGAGGGGCGACGCGGCCGCCGCGGGGGGAAGCAGCTCGAACGCGGAGCGGGAGGTAATGGAGGCAGGGCTGGGGCGGGGGGTGAGGGCCCGCCCCGGGGTGGGCTGAGGGGGCACGGCGGGAGCCCTTCCCGCCTCCCCGCAGGGCGGAGGCAGCCGGGGGGACCCTGCGCTAGGGCCGCCGGTGGCTCCGGTGTCCCGGCAGGAGGAGGTTCCCCCTGCCCGGAGCGCGAGTGCGGGATCGCTCCTCCGGAGCCGTGCCCCGGGCGGTGAGTGCAGAGATGCCGCGGGACCGTGCGGGAGGGATGGCGGCAGCCCGGGGCTCTGGGGGCCGCCTGAGCCCTGGCTCCCCTCTCGGAGCCGTCGCCTCCTCGGAGTGCCCGAACTCAGCGCTAAGATTGCTTCAAAAGCAGCAGCCTGGGCGAGGGCACCAGGTAGCGGTACCGCCGCCCTGGCTCAGCCGCCCCAAGGGGCTGGAAGTGCCCCGATGCCCATGGAGCGGGCACAGCGGGCAGCGTGTGCGCCCATCTGCGCCGTGGGGCTTGGGATCCTGCAGGGAAACGGGGACCCAGTGGCTTCGGCTCACCCTGGCTGGGAAAGCGATGCAGCCACGGGGGGATGAAATGATTTAAGGCGCTCTCCCCCGTTCCCCCTTTGTGTCTCTGTGCAGGAGCCCGGACTGCCGTGCTGATGTTTCGGCGTTGAGGTAATGGCAGAAGTCGGTCTGTGTGGCACGGCCGGAGGTCCGGAGCACGGTCTGCCGTGATCTGCGCCGGGATGGGGAACAGCGGCTCGGCCGTGAAGGTCTGCACGGATCACCAAGGCGGCATCAACTGGCTGAGCCTGAGCCCCGACGGGCAGCGGCTGCTGACGGGCAGCGAGGACGGCACGGCGCGGCTCTGGAGCACCGCGGACAGCCAGTGCCGCGGGCACCTCCAAGGTACGGCAGCGGCTTTTCGCCGGGGCTCTGGGGCTGAAGGGTGGCACAGGCCACACAGCGTGTTCTGTCTCTTTCAGTCCCTGCCGACAGCCAAAATCATGCTTGTTTTGGTGTTTATTACAGCAGCGTTAAGCAGGAGCTGTTTCAACCCAAAACAGGTTACCGGCACTACTGAGTGCGCGGATCCTTTTATCTCAGGGTGTGCGAAGTTGTTTAACTTATGTCACTTTCTGGAAGCCCTGGTTTACCCTGTGAAAAAATACTGTTTTTTTGTTCTTCTCTCTTTTTTTTTTTTTTTTTTTTTTTTTTCGGTCCTTTTAATAATCTCATTTCTAGGTGGTCTTTATTTAGAGCCTCTTGACCCAGAAGTCTGGAAAGGAACCTTGCTAAATAGGTTACTTCTGTTTTCCCTCCTCATGGGATGCACAGAAATGTTAATTGCTGGGCTTTTGAAATTTAAATTCATTTTGCATCTTAAAAAAAAAGACTGGTGTGTCAGTAATTGAAAAGAAAAAAAAAACTGTAGACAGTGGACATGCAGAAGTCTAGATGTGGGCTAAAGATGTTTGTATTCCCACTCATGTTCTTTTAATGAAAAAAAAGAAGCTGTTAAATTTGGAATTTCTAATGTTTTTTTCTTCCAAAGAAGAAATCACATTGCTGTGATTTCTTTGTTGTTTGTTTGCTTGCTTGCTTGTTTTTCACTATGGAGTATTGTCTTTTTTCCCCACATCCTGCCATGATTCTAGCTTCTGGAAAACTCACTGCATTTGCTTAAGGCTTAGAAATCCCTTCAAACTAGAAAGAGAAATGTATTGGATAGCATCCATTATTATGGAATCTGCCAGTGTTTGGGGTAAACTCTGAAGAAGGTTGGGCTGGGTGGTTTGTGAACTGCCAGTCAAATCAGATAATTGTATGTATTTTATACTTATGCACACACGCAGTTGTCGTGTCAATTTTGATTTTACAAGCTATAATTACTGATAAACCTGTATCTCTAATGCAGTTTCAAGCTCCACCACAGCACAACCAGCAGAGTTGTGTGGTGGCTGCTTTTGGCCAGACCAGCACCAGACCTTGTCTGCCACATGGGGCTTTGGCACCCTGTGTGTGGCTCGGGTTTTACTGATGGTTGAAATCTGCCTGGCAGACTTTGGTGCAGTAACCAAGATGCTGTTTTGATCTCAGAGCTGGATTACATGATGCTGTGAGAAAAATCCCAGTGATTGAAACCTGATCTGTTCAGGCTGCTTTGCAGAAAGTTTCACAAATGTGGGAGAATGAGTGTAGTTTTGCTTATAGCCCTGGTGATCTGTTTAATTTTTGGCATCTGATGAATTTGTTTTAGAGGAAACAAGCCATATGTTTGTAACATGGATTCTGGTTTGCTTTTGAACTACAACAAGGCTTTTGAACTTCAGGACTCGTACTGAAATCTGGTTTTTGCAGTCAGTGAAACAGTGCTTTACTGGACAGTCTGCTTTCCCTCAGTTTTTTTACCATCTATTTATTTTACAACATTCAGTTTTTCTAATACCTTTGTCCATCTGTCTCTCTTTAATCACAACTGTCCTTTAATTTATTTTTTTTCTTTTTTTTCCTCAAAGAATAGTATTTAAGTCACAGTAGGGCCCACCAACTTCAGCCACAGCTGTCACTCTTGTAATAGTGACTTAAGTGGAAACAGTTCTGCTCCTAAAAGCTTACAGTTTAAATGTTAAAGCAGAAGAGTTCAAGGTAATAGTAGTCCAATGATTAGATAGGTGACAGCAATTTCACACATGAGATCTTGGATGAAGCTGGGATTTGTATCCTAAGGTGATTTTTACGTGTGGTGCATTTAATATTACAAGAGAAAAATGACACGTCTTGCTAAGCAGCAACAAAAGCTTGAGGTGGTAATATTGATTCCTCTTTTTTGGTATTGCCTTGTTTGTCAGTGTGACATTTTTAAAGCAGTGGTTGTGCCTGTTTTTATTGTAACTGTAGAGTCTACATATTGTGTAAACAATTGTGCTCTAATCCTCCCTCCCTCTCTTCCTTTCTTTTCCTTAAAGGTATACTTATACTTAGAAAATTGTGGGGTTTAGTCATGTGGGGGAAAGTGTTGGCTGACTATTTACTTGGTATGTCTTTTTGTTTGCTTTTCATTCTGCCTGGACAATGAAATCAAACTTGCTGGTAAGTCTCAGGTCATTTTTTTCAGAGTTTCTTGCTTTGATTTATGACTGTGTCCTGACAATCAGTGGGCTGGGTTGAAATGCTGCCTTTTTCTCCCTGCTCTCAGAAGAAGGAAGAAAAAGCATTTTTTAATTAAAAAATAATCTAGATTTTTACTGGTATCACACTTCATTAGTCTGAGTTTTTTATATTGGTATTAGTCTATCTCATTACATTTTTATAATACTGTTTGCTTTACCTGCTTGGTGGAACTGTACTGTTTTACTCTCTCACTTAATCCTGATGTCAGTGAAGTTTTCTGCTGTGTTGAAATGGTTCTTGTTTTACACAAATCTTTAAACGTGAAAAGCACGGCGGTGCATTTAAAACTGGAGCTTTGCTGCATTTGTTTGTATTTTTCTTTTGGCTAAGGTGAAGAGCTGGACTGGTCTGTCCTTTCTGCAAGCACAGTGACTGATTTCCTTTGTTGTTCCTAGGACATGAAAGTTACATCACCTTTTGCCACTTGGAGAACGAGGCCGCCTTCACGTGCAGCGCTGACCACACCATTCGCAAGTGGGACGTGGCCACCGGGCAGTGCTTGGCCATTTACCGAGGCCACACATCCATTGTCAACAGGTGGGCTTGTCCCCTCGTGCTCCTGTCATCTGCTGTCACACACTTCATCATTGCACTGCAGCTCCCCATTGCTGCACTCATAAAAGGGGCTGTGTAAACCTCTGAGTTCGTGTTCTGAGTTGCAGTGATTAGTTTTTCTAGCAACACTGCTGACACAGATAGGAGAGAAATGAAAGGCACTCAGCAGGGGAATGGAATCCAGGGCCAGGAATGAAATTCCAGAAGAAATGATCCAATTGATAACAGATGCTGCTGATAAATAGGTTTAAAAACATCCTGTCGAGCTTTTGTGTCAGCAAGAGGGATAAAGTCAGAGATTTTTCTGTTATTATTATGCCTGTTTGGGCAAATGAATTTTAATAATAAACTTACTGTGTGTGGCTGATTGGCCTTTCCATTTAAAGTGCCCATTAATAGTTGGACTGGATTTAATTAATGGCAAATAGAGCAGTCAAAGATTGGTATTTTTTTAACATTTCTTTTCTGGTGGGCGTGTGGGCTTTTTAGTTCCTTTCTAACTCAAAACACATATGATGTGTAGTGAGATTCTGTAAATAGTTAGGAAGGCTGGTTCTGTGTTTTGGCACAGGCCTGATTTTTGCTTGAATCAGCAAATGGGAAATGTGTTCCCCATTCATATGACTTTGTTGCCTGTTTGGAAGGTTCCAGAGGACAGGAACCTGAGGAAAGGTCAGCTGACAAAAAAGGCAGGTTATGGATGTTTCCTATCTCTGGTTTGGAAATATGAACTGTAGATTTTTTTCTGGTTTTGTATGTTTGTGCAGCTACAACTCATTATTTTGAAGGCCCAGGAAGTTGAATTCCTGAGGTGTAATCTTTGGTTTGCTCTTCACTTATGTAATAAGTGGGGTGCTTGTGCTTTACCTTTTTTGAGATCCTGAGCTAAGTGGAATTAAGTGTATTTTTTTTTCTTGCACTCTCCTTATTTGATGATGGAAAGATGGTTATTTTGCACACTGTCAGTTACAGTTAAGATTTCTGGAATGTTATTTTGTTGCTTTGTTGTTGTTTTGGTTCCAAGCTATTGTCACAGGTCTGTTTTTAAACAATTTTTTAATAAAGAAATATTAATGAATAATTTACAAGAATTAACTAATTACAAAAAACCCCAACAAACACAAACCAAACAACAAAACAAACTTCTAGGTATTATATATAACTTAAGAAAGTTCATATTCCTTGCTGGAAGGAATTTCAGCAGCACAAAATGCAGAAAGTTACAATGCTATAGTGTAAAAATATCTGCATCAATGTACCTGAATGAGGGACCTCAATTTTAAAAGTAGAAACAGGAAAGTGTTTAATTTTTAAAAATGCCAAAGATGTTATGTATATGCTGCTATTTCATGCTTTGGGGTACTTGGCCTGGCACTGAAACAGTGACAAAAGATGGTTATGATAAAGAACAATACTGTTCACATGCACAAACCTTTATTTTTTGCAGAATCCTGGTTGCTAAAGACTATCTCTTCAGTGGCTCCTATGACAGGACAGCCCGCTGCTGGAGCGTGGACAAGGAGAAACAAATCCAGGAATTCCGGGGCCATCGGAACTGTGTCCTGACCCTAGCTCACTATTCCTCCAGGGATGTGCTGGAGGAAGAGGAGGAGGAAGAGGAGCAGGAGGAGAAAGTGAGCAGGGACCTGCTGGTGACAGGGAGCACGGACTGCACTGTGAAGGTCTGGTGGGTGTCCAGCGGGCGCTGCTACCAGACCCTGCTGGGACACACTGGGGCTGTCTTATGCCTTATACTTGATGCACCAAACAGGGAGCTGTTCTCTGGCAGCACGGATTACACCATCAGGACCTGGAATATTGTCACTGGAGAGCAGCTGAAAGTCTTCAAAGAGCACCAAGGATCAGTAATTTGCCTAGAGGTAAGGGCAGAGGTTTCCTCGAGGGCCTTTGGGCATCTGTGTCTTAATTCATGTGGATCTCAGTTATCTTCTCATTCATAAAGAAGCTCTTCTGAGACAGGTTATAAATGGTGAGCTTAAATATTTATGTAATAACAAAATAATAGTGCACTCTGGTCTTGAGACATACCCTCTTTCTCTAAAACACTTAGTGATTTCCTCTTAGCTTCTGGTGGCTGCCCTGGTCTAACTTCTAGCTCAATATCTATTTAAATTCCACTAGGTCATGGAACTCATGAGTAGGTGTGCTGAGGGCACTGTTCATCTGAGTGGAATTGTGCAGTCAGGCTCACCAGACTTGGAAGAAAATAACCTGAGCAAGTAACACAGGGTCAGGTCTTTTAAAACGGGGAGGGGAAAAACACTCAGTAAACCAGACAACTTCAAAAAACCCAACCCAAAGCCCTACCCCAAACTGTGGGCAAAAGATAATAGGAAAGCATAAAGCTGAAATAAATCCTACATTAAAGACCATACAGACAAGATGGGAGAAAAAAAGGGAGAAACAGATGGCCAAGACAAGAAAACAGGCAAGAAAAATGGAAAAGAGAAGAAGAGTATCGGGGAGAGAAATCAGGAAATGATGGAGCAGAGAGGGAAAAAAATGTAATGAGATCTGAAAAACTATACTCTGTTTTTCTGTTTGCAGTATTTTTATGTTGAATGCTGCCAGCTTTGTTAACATTGCAATGGAGAGGAGGAGGTCAGGCAGATGAAGCAAGAAGGGAAAGACAGTTATCCACAAGCTCATTATCCACCAGAAAATGCTAATAGTGCATTTAAAAGAGTACATGATGGTCTGTCACTCAGTTTCAGGTCATAAATGTTTATACATGGATGTGTCTGGCTGAAGTTAATGACAGTAGTTTTTCTCCCTGCTCTCCCTGTTTGTGTTTGTTGTCCATAGGTGTTTTTCCCTTACAGAGGCTACAGGAGCTATCTTTAATAGCTGTTTAATAAAAGTTGCCTTTGTTTCTAAATAAGGTAGTCACAGCTGACACTAGAAGACTAAAAACCTGGGAATACTGAAGGAATACTGTTTTCCTTCACTTTTAGAAAAGAAAAGAAAAAAACCCACACAATATCATATTGCCCTGGAGTAATGTTTGTCTTGCTTGGGTAAATTCTCAGTGTTAAATCTTGTTTTTATGATATTGTGGTAATGTACTCTGAGGATACTGAAGTAAATCTGTTGCTGTCCTTAGTGTCACGCTATGTTTTGTTGTTAATTGTAACCCTTCTCCAAGGCACAGATTGGCAACAACAGAGTTTGCCTTAATTTAATTGGGTTCTTGCTAAAATTGTTACACAAAGCTGGCTTGACCCTCTCCCAGAAGCCTGGGAAATTCAATTATGCCCTTTGAATGCTCAGGAATGAGCAATGCCTGTGAGCACAGAGTTAAGCAATGGCTTTAAACAAACAGAACTTCTTGTAGGGGGGAAGAAAAGCAAAACCAATACATCTATTTGGAAAACCTGAACAATTCAGAGTACACAAGACTGCTGCTGCTGCCAAGACCGTGTTGGCAGCAGTCCTGGCCAAATCTTCTGGAGTGACTGGTAGCCCCTCTTCTCTCATCACCAGTTAATGTTTGGGGCTGGGAGGGTCCAGCTGAGGTACAAACAGCCCCTACAGAGAGCATTCAGTGTCCAGGCCTCCCAAACTTACCCCAGCTTAAGCAGTCACTGCTGTTGAATAGCTTTAGGCTGTCAGTCTTTCCTAATTCCTCCCTCTGCCTTTCTGGGTTCAACACTATCCCTTCTGTTCCACTTGGCTGCCACTCAGCACAGCCCACATGGTATTTTCATTCTTTTAGAAAGGGGTCAATCACCAGAATCTGTACAAAGATGTTTCAACAGAAAGGAAACTTCCTGAATAGAGGTGTGTTTTTTATTATTATTTTTGTTTTGTCCTCAGAAAGCTTTTGGGGCCTTTTTTGCCTCAGGCTTCCAAGTGACAGTGTTGGAATCTGTGGCAATGAGCTGGGATGGTATTTTTCAAACCCTGGGTCAGGAAGGACTGGGAGGTAGTTGTGAGTTGCCCACAGTAGCCAGAAGTTTTAATTGTTGACAGTAATTAATTTTCTCCAGTGCAGCAGTGAGCTGCTAATTACATCAGATTTTCACTCTGCTGTCCTGGAAGAGCTGAGTTGGTGCCAGAAATTGAAGGCAGTTACCTGTTCTCTGGGTGGTACAATGCTTGTGTGGGGAGAAAAAAAGGGAAAGAAAAATAAAGACTTCTTTTCATTTTATTTATTAAAATAAAGATCCCTGAGGGAGGATGACTTTTCAAAACGTTTGAGAAATGCTCAGTGTGATTTCTCATCCTGGACACAGATCAGGAAAAATTTGGATATTGAGACCATATTTTCCCCAACTTTAAAAAGCTGTTATTGATGGGAATGCCCCAGGATGTTCTGAGCTGCTGCAAATTAGATCTGGTCTGTTCCAGTCATCTCCCATTGCTTTACAGTAAACACCAATAGTGTTGCTGTAGCAGTGAATGGAAATTCCTGGAGCTTGTTGAAGGAGTTTTCTGGGTAGATAGCCATAAAGCATACCCATGTTTTCCACCCTGCTTCCTGCAGTGGTGGTGTGTGGAAAGCAGAGGGGTCATGCCACAGACAGGTTCAGATTTTGAGCATTCCCATGTTGCTCTAAGATCCTTTAAAGTGTTGTTGCCAGGTAGTGTAAGTACAGGAGCCTGGAAACAATTCTCATCTAGCATGGCAGAACAGAAAGTGTTGGTGGGCTTTGGGCTTTCCCTCGTGCCCTGTCCTTGGTGGCTCTGGGCAGGGGAGTGATGAGGTTGAGCTGTCCTGTTCCCCAGGCTCGTCCTGCTGTCTGGGGGCCAGGCTGGTGAAGGTGACCAGCTGAACCCACCTCGTGTGCTCTGCTGCCAAAGGAGTTCTGCAGCTTTATGTGTTCATAATGCCACTTTTCTTCTCCTTTCACCATTTAAACTGTGAAGGTGACCAGCTGAACCCACCTCGTGTGCTCTGCTGCCAAAGGAGTTCTGCAGCTTTATGTGTTCATAATGCCACTTTTCTTCTCCTTTCACCATTTAAACTGTGAAGGTGACCAGCTGAACCCACCTCGTGTGCTCTGCTGCCAAAGGAGTTCTGCAGCTTTATGTGTTCATAATGCCACTTTTCTTCTCCTTTCACCATTTAAACTGGGCTGAGAGAGGTTTTGCTGGGAGACTTTCTGCCGTGGGAATTGTGTTAGGTGCTTTGGCAGCGTTGATTCCTTGACTTTCCCAGTCAGGCAAGGTAGCTCACAGTGGAACAGCCAGAACTCTTCACTCTCCTCCTCCTGCAGTGTGTTGATAGCTTGGCAGACAAAGTACAGCAGCTGTTTTGGGAGCTCCCTCTTCATATAAGAGCCAATAATGAGATTTTATAGGAAGTGATGGGAAAAAGCAAGGGTGGGCTGAGTGTAACCACATAGCTCATGCTCATTCTTCCACTTAAAATTTCAGGCCTGGCTAAAGACCAGTATTTACAATTAATAATCAAATATGCATCTTCATTATTGTGTCCGCCTGCAATGGGCTGAATAACCCTGATTTAAATATTTACTTGTGTGTGTTTTTCTAATGTCTCTCCTAAGTAGCTTTGCAAACTGTTCACAAGGATTGCTTTGTCCTTTGCCGATTGTTCGGCCTCTGAGTATTTATCAAAATTGTGCTGCCAAAAGCTGGCAGAGAGAAATGATCCAGCTTGGAATTTAGCTTGGATCCTACTGCAAACATCCTTGCAAGAAAACTCCCTTTTGAAGAACATGAACATGAGTGGGCAAGGACTTGCTTCTGCTTTTCCTGCAAAAGTTCCTTTGTTTGGACCATTCCCTTCAGTTGCCTTTTAAAGCTGACTAGAAGAAAAGAATGCTTTGAACAAAGCCACTGCCTGAACTCTGTTTATGTGCTGAACTGTTGTGATCACAGGGACAGAAGTGTTTTCTTGCCACACCACTTAAATTAAGTGCACGTATTTTTTGCAATTTGTGTTGGTATTTGTTGCATCAGAGGATGAAGATGTGAATAAGTGGAATGTGAAGGTGTACAACACATGTAAGAACCTGTAAGAAACATTGGGCCATCACTTTGCACTGCAGTAAAAAAGCTGAAAAACATTCTCTTAACAGCCAGTCCAGAGAGCTCATTCTAGATGGATTCTCAGGGAAAAAAAACCCAACAATTTCTTGCCCACAGGGACTTTGTTAGCTCGTTAAAATGGATGTGGTTTGAATGGGATCCTGAAACTCTTAACTCGGCCCAAGACTTACATAGTTGTATCTTGACATTGGTCCAGCTTGGTGATTTTTGACTTAGAAGTGGCTGTGAACAGAAGACCCAAATTCCAGATTGTAGGAACACTGACCTCCACAAGAAGAATAAACTGGTGATGGGGTATGTGGTTGCTCATGTGAACTCATCCTGAAGTTGATGAGGGCCAGGCTGAGTGCACTGACCCCCAGCAAAAGGATGTGTCCAGATCTCTTTGGAGAATCAGTTGGCTCTCCTTGGCTCTCCAAAAATTGTTTCTCATAGCAAAGGTTAATTGGGAGGGCAAAGTCCATTCCTATAAGGTTGAAATATCTGCTAAACAGCTCTTTTGCTGTTATTTTTTGGCATTTTTACAGGTAGAAGTTGGCTTAAGCTGCTGCATTTATGCAGTTCAGCCAAGCTTGTGAAGCAGTCGGGCTGTGATTGTCTTGAGAGACCAACCCTGGACGTGATAATTTGTTCTTTATTAAAATTCTGGTTGTTTGTGGGCTACAACCAAGGTTTTTTCTTATTAATGAGACCTGTAACTACTAAAGTGTTTACAACTAGTCTTTTGCTACTGCTATTACTATGCAGCTCACAAGCAGTTTGACTGAACTTTTTCAAGGGATAGTTACATCTCCAGTACTTTGGGTTGAGGATTAAGACAAATTTGCTCCATTCACATGTCAGTGTTTCATCTGGTTCAAAGCAAAAGTTCTCATGGGAAATATTAACAATCCAGAATTGCCAATATCAATGCAATGGGGTTTTTTTCTGCTGTCTGGCTGAGACTTTAGAACTGGGCATCAAACTGTTGTCAGCTTTTTAATGTTTTTGAAGCTACATGGGTTTGAAATGTCCACTCAGCCCATTGGTATCTGAGCTGCAAATCTGTTCTGTGTCGTCCCCTCTGCTGCAGGTGTCCTTGCCTGGCCGTGGTGTTCTGTGCTCAGGAGCTTTGTTGGGCAGTTGGCCAAAGTGAACCAAGTGTTCAAAAGCCAGCCAAGGAAAACACAGCTTTAGAAATGTCACCTCTTCTCTGGGAAGACACAGATTGGAATATGTAACTGTGTCTGCTAAATATTTTGAAACCACAGAGTGTGGGGCCAGCTTGTAAGGTGCTTTTTGCTGGGGGAACAGTAAGTGATGATAATGGTTATTTTAAATGTAGAGTAAATGCAGATATCGGAAGTGTTGCAGCTTAGGCTGGAGTTGTAAGCTAGACCTATCTTTAGTCAAGTGAAGGAGTGATCTCACCTGAATTATTCTGGCCACAGCTGAGAAGGTTGTCCTTGCTGGGTGTGGGAAATAGCGAGTTTTAAGGCATGATCTGTTTCAGATGTGCCTCAGGATGAGAAGAATTGTGCCCTAGACCACAGTGACTGTAAGGCAGCTATCTCCATCCTGTGGAGATGTGAACCAATTTAGATGAGATTATGCCTATCATATCACTAAAGACAGATCTGATTTGCAATTTCAGCCTGAGCTGAGAGCTCTTGAAGGCTTTCTTCACTAACAGCCATTTCATGCTGTTTTATAAAAATGCCATGGGAATGAGGGGCTGTGCGACAGTCAGAGCCTGCCCTGGGTTTTGCTGTTGGCTCTGCTGCAGGCTCAGTCTGTGGCATCTGGTGGATTGTTTAACCTGTTAATACTTCCTTTCCCATGCAAGACTGAGAATCCTGTGCTAGGCTACTGTGCCCACCTGCTTAAATTGGGGAGAGGAAGGAAGTGTTTCATTGGGCAGCACAGAGGCTTTGAATTTAATTGAGATGCTTGGTGTGCCAACCACCTCACCAGATCTCAGACACTGAAAAGCCAACCCTACCCAGGGCTGCAGCAAAACCAGTGCAGGCAGCAGGTCAAGGGTGTGATTCTTCTCTGTTTTTCTCTTGTGAGACCCCACCTGCAGTGCTGCATCCGGCTCTAGGGTTTCGGTACAGGAAAGACATGGATTTGTTGGAGCATCTCCAGAGGAGGTTGCGAAGATGATGAAGAGGGATGGAGCACCTCCGCTGTGGAGACAAGCACAGAGGGTTGGGTTGTTCAGCTTGGAGAAGAGAAGGCTCCAGGGAGACCTGAGAGCCCCTTCCAGTGCCTAAAGGGGCTCCAAGAGAGCTGGAGAGGGACTTTGGACAAGACTGTGGAGTGATGGGACAAGGGGAAATGGCTTTAAACTAAAAGAGGGTAGATTTAGATAGGGAAGAAATGATTTCCTGTGGGGGTGCTAAGGCCCTGGCACAGGTTCCCTGGAGAAGCTTTGACTGTCCCATCCCTGGAAGTGTTCAAGGCCAGGTTGGAAGGGGCTTGGAGCAACCTGGGATAGTGGAAGGTGTCCCTGCCCATGGCAGGGATTTTGAACAAGATGATCTTTAAAGTCCCTTCCAACTCAAACCATTCTATGATTCTAAGGCTCTTAAAATCCTGATGCTATAAATTATCTGAGTAAATCTGCATAACTTGAAACATTTTTGTGTCTAACAAATTAGCAAATCTAGGAAAGCTGCAGCTCTCCTGTTCATTGATACACCCACTTAAATGTAGAAATGAAGTGGTATAACCTAATGTACCATTAATGCAGAATGGCATTTACCTGTGGGAGGTTATAATTTAGTGTTTTTCCTTGCTCAGTGGGTGGGTTGATGCTGCTAGCAAGACGTCTAAAAAAGAAATGCAACAACTTGGCCACAAACCACGCAGCAGGATCTCAACTCCAAACATCCTCTTCCATTTAGCAGGTGCACATGACAATGTTCTTTATGCCTGTTTAGGGAGAGACTGAAATTTAAAAGTCCTTCCTCAGGCTAACTTGTGGGTCTTGGTTTTGTTACTGCTGCTGGCCATTCGTTCTCTCTTCTCATGGAGATGTAGCATTAATGCTGTTGCTAAAACAGCTTAAAAGTAATAGGAAGTGACATTTCAAAGTACTGCTGGCTTTTTACAGTGGTTTGTGCTTTACAAGCTCCTGGCATTCAGCTGTGAAATCACTCCCATGGGCCAGGTTCTGCTGGGAGGAAGAGTGGCATGTCCTGCTCCAACTGAGCTGGTGGGAGCTGTGGCAAGGGAGCCTCTTAGTCTGCTTGCACTCATTTCTTGTGTGGGTTATCCCAGTCCTATCACTGTAGTGCTTCATATCTTAAAATACCTTTTGCTTCACGTTGTAACACAGCACAATGCTGTTTTGTACAAAACTCACTTCTGATGCTTTTTGGGAATGGGGCCATTCCTTTATGGATTTGGAGTGGAGATGGAAGAGCATGAACAGCATTCCAACCTTACAAATAGAGAGTGTGAAAAGAGTGGGGACCAAATCTAAGGTGGCAGGAAAGCCAACCCTTAAAAGTGCTCTACGAGCAAGACCACAAGTTGATTTGTTATTTGCTGGTTTCCTGGAGATACTGGAGAAGCATCAGGAGTTTGTGCACTGGTGGTCATTCAAGCCTGGTATGTGTGTCTGGTGGACAAACAAGGTACCATTCATTACTCCCTGGGGAAATTCCACTTCTTGGTGGGGGGTCAGAGTTCTCCCTCCTGTCTCTCCATCCCTCTGATACAGAGGCTGCTGCAAGTCCATAAAACTTCCCTCGGGCCACAGCTGGGTGTTGGAGTGACTGGCTGCTTTCAGCAGGAGTTGGGCTCTACATAATAGCAATGGCTGTGAAAACATTCAGTTTGATGTCTTTACACAGACAGAGAATGCCAGATTTTTCTATGCCCGATGGAATTTTTCCTTCCTGAGCTTTCAGGCTTTGTGTAGCTTGTTTACTGTGAACTGGTTGTTTTTTTTAGTTTTGCACAGGTCAGTTATTTTCTCTCTGTCTCTGTTCCCCAGCTTCAATCCTTCCTTTTGTCATTCTCTGTCCTATGTGGAACAAGCCCCATCCTCCCCACCAGTGAGTTCTCACAATGTGTAGGATGACTGGTACAATGAGGGGTAGCACATAGCACAAGACAATCTGCTTGAAGATGTTTAAAAACCTGTGTCAGGATAGTTACTTATTTAATCATTCAATAACAGTCTAAAAAGACTTGTGGAAATCCAGATACAGAACACTTTCAAGGATGAGTTAGTGTTTCTGAACGCTGACTTTGTGCAGAGTGATCATACTAAATATAAACCCTGGTTTATGGTGTGTAGATTTTCATTGTAATTTACCTTTTTAAGAAATTTTTGTTACTCAGAATGGTTCTGAATTTTTTTGTAATTAGCAAGTAACAATTGGGTAAGAGTTCTTTGTCAAATATGCTTTGCAGAAACAACACTGCTGGGGTTTTTTTTGAGACTTTAGTAATATAACTGATTATGGATGTAGGGTTAGCATTGTTAAGCTCCCTGGAATCCTGCCTGCTGGCACAAGCAGATGGGCTAAGCCTTTATGTTCTGAAAGCTGGGGGCTGTTTTTAAGACCCAGAAGTCAGTGGGAGATGCGACTGTGAAGAACCCAAGGTTGGTTTGCTCACCACTCCTCTGTTTGAAGGTGCAGCTTGTTGCTCTCTGAGTCAGAAAATGTGACTTGGGATGGGTCCCTTCAGTGCAGCTCTTTCACAAAGGTGCCTGAGAGGGCGTTGCTGATGTGTTTTTCTCTCCCCCCAGCTGGTGAATCGTCACCTGTACTCGGGGAGCGCGGACAGGACGGTGAAGTGCTGGTTTGTAGACACTGGGGAGCGGATCCAGACCTACAAGGCTCACAAACACAGCGTTAGCACTTTGAAATACCACGCTGGCATCTGTAAGTTGCCTTTCCTGTGTTCTCCAGCCCCCTCCAGTCTCCTTTTCCATGTCTGTGTTTGATTGAAGGTGGTTAATGGAGAATAATTTTGAATGCTTGTGAAGTTGTCACTTTTTTTCAACTCCAGCATGATTACATTCAGTACCAAACTGCTGCACCACTCCCTGTGGGAAGCTTAGGCCTTCCCTCCATTTTCCACCTCCTTCTCACAAATGAAGAGGCAGTTATTTTGTTTCTGTTACCAAGGGATGTGGCTTAAATCCTGAGCTTGTTTGTGTCGCTGTGGTTTAACCTTAACTATCTGGTGTCTGTCACCTGCTTCTGCTGCATGCTGGGGACAGCAGGTGCTGCTGCTGGACACACAGCCCTGTGCCTCTCTCTGCTGCCTTGTAGGCTCTGTGGAACACCCTGTCCTAAACCAGAATCACACCTCAGGTGCTCACTGCTCCTTTCTAGGCTTCCTATTAGGCTCATGTTAGGCTTCCTATTGAGGCTCTGACCATCTCCTAGACTCATTTCCCACAAGTTCTTTACCTGTTATCTGTTATCATTCATGGACTTGTTTTCCAAATCATTTTCCTCTAGTAGCCAAGCCTTACTAATGATCAGGACTCAGCTCTCCTACCTTCAGTCCTCCTGTTTACAGTGGTTTCTGTCCATCAGTGTCTATTGCTGACCATCAAACCTCCCTCTCTGTGCTGGCTTTCCTTCTGCTTGTCTGGATTTGGGTTGCCAGACAGTGCCTCTGTTTTGATCAGTGAACCTCTCTGTGTCATCCTGGTCTTATCCTGCTTCTGGTATTTGACTTGATGTATACCTTCCCTTGCTTCCCAAAAAAGAACTTCTCTCCTTCTCTCCTCTCCTGCCCTAAAGGAGATGGCCATGGCTGTCTTAAGCTAACCTAGACATTCACAGCTCTTTCCTGATTTTGATTTCTTCACTTCAGCTTTGAAGTGAACACATCACACTAAATGAGTGGTTGCTATCTGGGCCTTGAGCTCTCTTTTGGCAGCTCCTCAGTGTGATGGTGATAAATAGCTGACAGATGCAAGATGGTGCACGTTAGCAGAGTTGTACCTGCACAGTTTAGTAGCAGTTGTCTGGCACCTACATTTATAACCCAGTAACTGAACTGATTTCTTAATTATGTTTGGAAACTTAGTATGTAACCAGGCACAGAGGTAGAATTTTTAGCCAGGAAACCTTGTTTTGGTCTTCCTTTCAGCACGAGTCCCACATGACTGCTTTTCTGCAGTAAAATATTTATTTATAATTTATGGTTATTTCAGCTCTCCTCACCTCCATGGCAGAATTACCCCATTCTTCCCTACCTGCAGGTTGAAATTTTTGCTGGTTTCAGCTTCCACAGTTGGCTAGAAGGCTGAAATGGAAGGGGTAAAGGGTCTGAACCTACACTGCACTTTCAAGTTATTATTGCTTCAAGATGCAGGCAGGTAGAGCAAGGGAAATGAACCAGAAATTGTAACCTGAGATGCTCACTGGTAGACAAAGTACTGATGATTTTGTGTGTGTGTTTTCCACCTTTTAATTATTAAGACACAAACCAGATTTTGTCCAGACTAGGCAAAGGCCAGTGATCTGTGCTAGGCTGATGTTGGCTGATCCCGTGCTGAACTTGCATGTCTGGGTGGCAGACAGGGATTGTCTCCTTCATTAATGGCACCTCCAGAGCTGCAGCTGTTCAGTGTTGATCCTGCTCTTCATGCAACCTGTAGAGACTTGACCAAACTGTAAAGAAAAGGAAGTTTTAGCTCAAACAAAAGTTTCATTATGTGACACCACCTCCATCAGCTCTGCAGCTTTCTCTCTCTTCCCCCTCATTCTACCACCTTGTCCCTGCCATACACATACATTATTTTTCCGCAACACTCTTTTTTTGAATTAAAATGCAGACAATATTGCTGCATTTAGTCAGACCTGCAAAGAACATCCTGATAGTGTGATAGAAGAGTTTGCAGAGTTATTTAAGATCTTGTTTTAAATCAAATGCAAAAATACTAAAAGTGTCAAACAGGGAGTATCAAATTGTTCCGCTTGAAGGGTAGAAAAAAAGTTCTGGAAAAATATTAGGAACTTGTTTGAATGCATTATGTGCGCTTTAATTAATGAAAGAGGAAATTTCCCCCTAAGAATTAATTTATATACTATGATTGCTTGCATTATTGTGGTGTATTCATCACTTCTTTCCACAGTATCTAATAATTTTGTTAGAATTAGAATTATAAAGACATGTTAACTGGATACCAGTGTAACTTAAAATACAGTCCATTCTCCTGGGACAGATCAGAACAGTCTCTAAAAATGTGGAAAAAATTATTGAAATTATGTTTGTTATGGTTTATGTCACATTTGCACCAGTGCAAGAACATGAAAAAAACATCTCAGCCATGAAGTGGTAATTTTCTGTTAGAAGATCTTAATTCTGCTGCTTTCTCTCTGATCACAGCCCAAAGGCTCATTGCCCCAAAGGGTTTGTGGTCTAAATAAGAAAAAAGAGTAGAAGAAAGAGAGGAAAAATACATGCCTGTTTCCAAAATCACTTTATAGTATACAGGAAGTCCAAAAAGATGTGAAAACTAAGCATTAAATCATCAGAATGTGTTTCCAGTGGCTTTTCTCAGTCTGCTTGTGTAATTAATAGCATGGGGAATATTACAGCTGGTTCTCAGTCTAATTTATTTAATGATATGTTGATTATTTTTCTCTTAAAGTATGTGCACAGCCATTTAAAATTTAATGTGGTTTATATATTTTTCATGTTGCAAAAGCTCCAGGGGAATATTTCAAAACTGTTCTCCCAAGGGTCTGTGAAAATTAAGTAAAAAAAGAAAATTAGTTTTATTTTGTTGTTGTTGTTCATTTCACAGGTGATATATATAAGTATGTATTTAAATGCTAAGTCTGGGTTAGATCAACAGCTCTTCTTTGAAATTCAGAGGTGGAGAGAGACTTCCTAAATCCAGAGTGACAGTTCAAAAGACATAAAGGATGTCTGTCAAAAGGGAAGTTCTGATGGCAACAGCTGAAGTAAACTGGCAGCTGCATAGTGAAAACAGCTCTTAATTGGTTCCTGCTCTCTGCATGTCTGTAATAGAATTAAGTGATTTCCATTCACTGGGAAAAAATCAGTACCTGTTCCCTGCTTTACTTTGTTGCTACTCATTTGCAGAGTGGGACATGATGCTTTTTCAGGGCTCTGCTGGAAATTGAATTATTGTGGCCCATATAAAGTGACATTGATTTTCCACATCCAGATGTTTCTTGGAGGTGCACCCAGGAGGTGCCCAGCTCCCTGCTGTTTCATTTGAATTTAAAAAGCTCGTGGCAGTACATAGTCAGTTCTCTCATCTGTTATTGTAGTCCTGAATTTACAACCATGATAATTTTTTCACCTCTCTTTAGAGATTCGGTTCCTGACTTCTCCTAAAAGATAAGAATCTGTTGGCTTCAGGCACACCAGTTTTGTAAAAATCTTCCCATGCTAGTGGCTTTTACATGAAATGCAGAGAGCAGTGAATATATTGCTTTTTGAAGCTCTGAAATATTTATGTCTAAATAAACTTGAGGAGTTTGGGTTAACTGAAGGGAAGTGTTTATTAAGATTGTTTGTAACCTTTAAAGCACACAAATGGGCTCCTTTTTGGGCATATTGCTAAGTACAAAATCTAAATATTAAGACTGCCTTACAGTTCCTGGATGCAGCAGTCTGGGGATCTGATGTGAAGATGCTGAAGTGTTGAGAAATTGTTCTTTCAACATGCAAGGTGCTCTAAGGAAACTGATGAATAGCCAAAATTCCTGGTCATGCTCAATTTAGTTACCCCAGCCCTGCCCCTTTTGCAGCAGCAGAAGTAATGGAAACACTGGAGTACTGAATGGAAAGCTGTAAATAACTCTGGTAAAACAAATGAAAGGTTGAGTGGAAATGCTTAAAACCAGACTTGAGATAAATTGCCTGCTTAGAATTATTATAGGCAGGGAAATAGCTGTGGAAGAGAAGAGCAGAAATAGATACTTGAAACATGTGCAGAGTGAAATGTTGGTATGTGTAGGAACTTCAGGTTTAAATCAGTTCAGTATTTCAAAAAATACAGCTCAAAACAAGCATGCTGGGGGTCAGCAAAATGATCTGGTTTGTCTGAGGAGAGAATCAAAATGATATGTCATACCCCCCTGAGAGCTGGTTTTAGGTACATTTTTTAACTTCTATGGACTGTCCTCATGTGGCTGCTCACATCTGGCTGTGCTGTGTGGTTGTGTGTCAGTGTTCACAGGAAGTGGTGATGCCTGTGCAAGAGCTTTCAATTCCAGGAGCGGAGTCTTGCAGAAGATCTTCCGAGGACACAAGTTCATCATCAACTGTATCCAGGTCAGGAAGGGGTTTCTTGATGGAGTTTCTTCATTTAGATTGCTCCCTCATTTGTTTTGTGGGATCTGGTGTGGCTGACTGTTCTGTGTGTCTTGGATTGGATGTTGTTCTAGCATAATACTTGAATATTCTGTATGTAATTTTAGAAAAGCTTGTTAATAATCATAAGGATAAGTGAAACCACGGAACGAGTCCCCAGGGACAGCCCCATGTCTGGGACGGGGTTTTTTCAGGTCAGCTTGGATAAGCAGCCACGGGAACTGAGACAGATGAACTGATGCTGTGTGGGGCACAGAATGGACTCCAGCCTCATGAGACCTTTTCCATTACAAGACACTAATGATAAGTGTTTGCAGTGCTCTAAGGGGAAAGGAAGTTCCTGCCTTATGCAGGCAGAATAATTATAGCATTGTCCCCCAAACCACCCAGGGGCATGGCATCCCCAAACAGTCTGAGGCAGCTCAGTAGTGATATCTGACCCACATCCTGCCAGGAAAATGGAGGAGTTTCTGCCACTGGCTTAAAACTGAAAGTTAATGTTTGCATAATGTCTAGGGTCAAGTGAGACTGGCATTTAATGGTTACCACAGGAGGAATTAGTAATCCTTGGTGGCCATGCAAAGACCATGGAATCACAGAGGGGCTTGCATTGGAAGGGACCTCATTCCAACCCCCCCTGCCATAGGCAGGGACACCTTCCACTAGACCAGGTTCCTCAATGTCCCTTCCAACCTGGCCTTGAACACTTCCATGGGTGGGGCAGCCACTCTAAGAATCTGCATCTCCCTGCAGTGGGATCTCAGTGTAAGCTGTGTGCAGGATGAAGATTTTCATTAACAATGGGAGACATTGTTGGTAATTCTGGCAGGCTGACAGTCCAAAGAAAAAGAGAGGAGATAAAATTCCTTTTGGAGTTGATCCCAAGCACATGAAGTTGTAAATACAGTTTTCTCTTGAATTAGCAAGTGGCTGGATGATCTTAAACTGCAACCTGCTGGTACTGGGAAGTTGTTGTAAAGCAGGTGGGCATCTGGATGTGTTTGGGGAGTAGATGATAGAACCACCCTGGGCAGCCCCAGGTATGGACAAGACCAAAGCTTGGCTTTGTCTTGTTCTTCTTTGTAATTGAATTTCCAACTGCACAGGGGCAAAAAAAAAAAAAAAAACCAAAACAGGAAGAGAGAGGACTGAGATGTGGCAACCTTAAGATGATCGTAGGTATAATAATGAGGGCTGGATGAGAGGTGTGGTGCTTGTGTGGTACTTATGTAAGCCAGGGAGATGCTCACTGTCCCAGCACAGACAGGCAAGCACAGGGCACCCGTGGGGTGGGCAGGCTGATACAGGAGCAGGAAGATCACCAAGATTGATGTCTGGTTTCCAGGGCAGAACATGGGCAATTGGAGACATTACCAATAGCAGCAAATGGTTCGTAAAGGAAATGAAACCACAGCAGTGAATCCAGGTTAAATTACGGCAGATTTGAAGAGCAATGGAGTTTGAAGGAGGAATTGTACCTATAATTTAGTGCAAAGGAAGAAGGGAAGCGAGAAAGGAAGCATTCCTGAACCCACTGCTGCCCACTGATGATGGTTTTGGTGCCTCCTTAAGTTCTACATCAAAACTAGCAGTCTGAAAACAGTTCCAGCAGAAATTCCCAGCCACAGCCTGCTCTGACATTGGGTTTAGTTCTCCTTTGCTTTTCTAGAGGGTCTGGGTTATTAATAATTCTTGCTGTTTATGGCTCTGTGAAGTGGCTGAGAAATGAGCCCTGACTTGGTAATGTCTCATCCCACTTCAGCAGCTTTTGTGATAATTTATACTGGCTCTTGCAAGGAGCTCAGGCCTTAAGTGTTGGGATCAAGCTGTGTTTGCTCTGCTTTTTGACAGTTTGATTGTGCTGTGACCCTGTTGTTCCAGATCCACAACGAGCTGCTCTACACAGCTTCCCACGATGGCACACTGCGGATCTGGGACATCCGGGGCATATGCAAGAGAAATAAGCGGCGCTTGAAGAAGGAGAGGTCTGTGCAGGGCAGGAGCTCCCAGAAGGGGAGTCTGTCTCGTCTCTTCAACAATAAAGTTGGCTGTATGATACAGCAGGAGAATGGGGAACATGAGGCTGTTGAACTGATGTGACTGTCCAGAGCAGGCTTTATGTCAGTGACCAAAGCTGAACCTTTTATTTTCTGCACCACTGTGTCCATGTAAACCAGAACTTGGAAAGAGATGGGAAGTGGCTTTGCCTGAATCTCTGTGTGAGGAGCCAGGATTCTCTGTGGCTGCCAGATGGACTCAGGTCAGATCCCGTGGCTGTGATGACGCAGCTGAGCAGCTCTGGGGTCGGGAGGCAGCGTGGTTCAGGTGAGGTAGCACTGTGTGACTGCAATTAGGGACTCAGCTGAGCAGCTCTGGGGTCGGGAGGGAAGGCAGCGTGGTTCAGGTGAGGTAGCACTGTGTGACTGCAATTAGGGACTTTCCTTACCACTGCTGACATCAGTTCCCTGGGCACAGAGGTGGCTGCCTGGTGTCTAATGAGATGTTTTCCCGTTCCTGTTGCCCCCTCCCATGACCCCTGTCCAGCCCAGTGTGGCAGTGAAAGGTGGCCTTGAATTCCACCTTCACAGCTGCCCTTCGGGTCAGTCGTTGGCTGACAAGGCCAAAGCAGGAGGGTTTGGCTCTGCAGCAGGATTTTAAAGCAGACTGGACATCTCTGTGAAGCTGGGAGTAGTAGGACAGAAATTAATTTAATTGGTTTTTTTAACAAAACATAGGCCACAGAGCAAGCTAAACCTCAGCCCTTTTGTGCCAAGGTTGTTTGTGCCTTTTGTGTCACCTGTTTGCTGACCTTGTGTTGTCTTTCCTCCTCCCAAAGTTGTGTCTTGCTAGGTTGTCAGTAGCATTGGATAAGCAGTCAAACTCAAGAGTTTTCCCAGTCTTTTTCCAGGTTCATTCTTCTCTGATAACCACTGAGCCATGAATTAACAAGGGTTCTTATATTTTTCTATTTGCAGATATAACTCTTTGTAGAACCATTACAAAAATATCTAACCACATGTTTTTATTTTTATGGCTTTATTTATTCTGTACTACAGCAAGATAAAAATGCTGTAATCCTTTTTTAGAATGGATTAATAAACATGTGGCATCTCCAGACAACTACCTGTCTAGTTTTCATTTTTGTCTTATATATCTGGAGGGGTGTGGCCTGGCTGCAGAAGCACAGAAGTTAAGAATGGATGGAAGGAGGGAAAAAACCCCACATACACTTCTGGAAACATTTCTTGCCTTTCCCTCAGTTCTGGGGTTGGAGTTGGGTGTGTGTGAAGCTGTCCTGCCTCCCACCAGGCACCAAAGTGCCAAAGCTCAGTTCCCTGATAGGAGGGACCAGACACAAAAGCACAGACTTAGGGAAAGCAGGGATGACAAAGTGCTACAAGCCCTGACTCAGCACTGCCCTAATGGCACCAAAGCCTCCTGTTGTGACACCTTTAACACTGTGTCAGTAGGTCAGACCCATCACAGACCCTGCTCTCCTCTCCAGCAGGTTTCCACATTTAGTAGAAAACAGCATTTAAATTTTGTGTGCTGAGCAGCTTTGGTAGTTCTTACCCAGCAGGTTTCCACATCTAGTAGAAAACAGCATTTAAATTTTGTGAAATGCCTACCAAGAGACTAATTTGGGAGGTGAGCTGCATCGTGCAGACTTAATTCCAAAGTAAACCTCTCAGGCTGGTCATTGTGGCTCAGTGGCATGTGTCTGTGAGCTGCTGCTGGCTTGCCATGCAGCTGATTGTTTGTATTTTGCTTCTGAGGACAACAATAAGTAGGAGGCCTTTAGGAGCTGGATGGAGTTCCCCAGACCACCTGGGCTGTATTTTGTGTTTAAAACTTCACACGCAGTACATGAGACACAGGAGCCTATCTGGGCACCCAGCAGCTGCACACGCAGTCAGCAGAGATCTCAGAAAGTGGAATTAATGAGTCATTACCACTTCTGCCTGTTGCTAAACATATCACAGTGCCTCCAAATACATGGTCAAAATTAACTTGCAGCTTTCAGCCAATGCCTCTTGCTCTGCTGATCACTTACAACTGCACTGGCAGAGTTACATCATTGATGAATGGCTGCTCTGACAAGCACTGCATGTTATGATGCTAATTTTAAATTCCCCAAGGACAAACCTTCCCTTCTGAAGTTGTCGCTGCCAGTTTGCTGTGCAAGCCACTTCAAAGAGAACTGCTGCATGTGCAGCTCAATGCTGCCTTCAGTGCATGCCCAGGGGCAGGCAGCCAATGCCAGGAGGTTTGGGAAGGGAGGAGTAAATTTGTGTTTCCACCTCCTTCTTGTTAAAACTACATCCACGACTTGCATGTTTTCAATTTTAAATTCTTTCCTCTATTCTGTTTTTGCTCTTTATTTTGTCCAGGGGTTCCTCAGTGCTGGCCTGTAAAGAAACCAGGATATAACGGGTGCTGGGGCTGGTTTTCCCTCAGAAGCTCCTACTGCTGTCTTTGGAAATCCTTCAGCTTTCAGGGTAGAGATACAAAGCCATTCAATTTTTACAGCACTTGCCTTGATAGAGAAGAATGAAATACAAGCAATTCCTTAACAGTGTAATCACTGCCTGTTTTTGCTGTGTTTGGCTGAGGGAATCAGCGCAAAACCCGACCTTGTGCTGCAGCCGTTCAGTCCCCGCGCTGGGGCTGAGCAGTCCTTGCGAGCCAAGGCCCTGCTCCCCGCAGCGCACAGCCGGTAATGCCGGCTGAGGAGACGCTGTCACCACACGGAGGGCTGCTGTCCTGGCTGGAAGCGGAGAGCGCGGCCGATTCCCTGCTCCCACCGGCTCCAGACGGGACCTGGGCTCCCTCTACCGAGAGCGTGGAGCCATGGAAAACGAATAAACCACGTCCAAGCAAGGCTGCCAGGCAGAGGAATGTCTGTTCCCGGCGCAGAGGAGTGCTTACAGGGCAGGAAAAGCGATGTTATAAAACCACAGAAACGCCCAAATGCTTCTTCAGAACGCTGGAGCTGGACACAGCTTCTGAGACAGCACCTGAACCAAGCTCCGTTCAACAGCTGATTGCACAAAATCCTGTAATCCCCCGAAATCACAGAACCACAGGGTTGGAAGAGACCTTCAAGATCATCGAGTCCAACCTTTTCCCTGACACCTCAACTAAACCATGGCACCGGGTGCCTCATCCCAGTCCAGGGATGGTGACTCCACCACCTCCCTGGGCAGACCATCATCCTTAATCCACACCTTAATCCATCAACCTTAATCCACACACCTGCAGAGGTTAAAGAGAGCTGAGGGAAAGTGGCTGTTTAGTTATAAAAAGAAATTCCAGTAGATCACTCCCCCAGTCCCAAGACAGGCCCTGCCAGGTAGTTCCCACTTTTTAAACAAAGCACAGAGGTCTCTCACCGAAGGCAGAAGCAGCACAGAGTCACCTTTATTGCCTGTGTAACACCTGTAGGAAGGGACAAGCAGAACACGGTATAAACCCATGCACAACAGATACATTAATGTCTCTTAGAAATCTTTCAGAAGAAAAGTAGGAAAGCTGATACACCTCTACAGCCTCATGAGCTAAGGTTTCTTGTTTACAAACTCACATTTTTCTTTTAAAGCTGGTATTTTAAAATGGTATAGAAATGCTTCTTTACTGAGTTAACTTATTTCACAATAAAAATATAGTTTAGTTCTATTAAATTTTCTTCTGAAAATAAATGTTTCTATATTTCTATGACAATAAATTACAATGTATCACAAATGTAGGCTTTAAGCAGAGTTACAAATAAGCAGGAATTAAGTATTCCAACTATAGTTTAATGGAATTCAAGGCCCTTAGTAAGAGATAAGATGAAGGTGCATTTATAATCCAAACTCCATTTGACAAGGTAAATACATATAACTGAAGTAGATTTAATGGGATTTAGTGCTGCGGTACTTGTATATAGGATAAGTATTCATGAATTATCTGCTCCTCTTCCTCGAGTGTTAAATCCAGATAATCCTCTTCATGCTCAGGAATATCCTCTAGGATTTCATTGACTGCATCAGTCTCCATGTCTTCATCTGTTGGTGAACTAGAGGAACCTTCCAATAAAAAGCAGCAGCAGTGAATTCACCACTGAAAGAAGTTGGTGCTCTCCCTGTTTCAGCAGCCAGCCCCTTCCTGCACAACCACCTCTTACAATTACTGTGCAAAGGACAGGGCAGGATGGCCATTTTTCCTTATTATTTAAATGTGGTGTAGGAAAGCTTTTAATTATACAGCAGGGATCACTACAGCTCTGACAAGTAACGAGAGAAAAAGTATGTGCAAGTTTCTTTAAGTTTAAAGTTATTGATTGTGGTTCTATCCTGTAAGGGACATGATGAAGGAGTATGGAGGCAGGTCAGCCACCTGCAGAGGACAGTTCTGGAATAAACTCCTTAGCCTTGCCCAGGACACCCTGAGTGTCACTTTTTCTCCTGGGCTGCACCTGCCTGCAGCTGGTACCAGTCTCCTCTGGTTCCTTTGTGGCTGTCACTGCAGGGAACAGCAGCTGCCTTCCTGTAACTGTGTTCCCAATAAAAACAGCCTGAGGCATTACTGCAGCCCTGTGTCATGATTTCAGCAGAAATTGCTTAACTATTTCCTACAAAAGCCAGAACAGCCTTCCCTTCCCACGCTGCTGGATGCAACATTCTCACCTGCAGACTCTGTGAGCAGGTCCTTGGAAGAAGTGGATTCCTCTGATGGACTGGACCCTTCTGAGGACAGCAGCAGTGAAGGGGGAAGAACTCCCCCATAATGAGCAAGGGTTTGGGAAGCCACGTGGATGTTCCCTTTAAAGACCTTTAAAGCTTGCTCTGCAGACTCACGGCTGAAACCCATGTACGTCAGCTGTGGGGGGGGAAAGGATAAAAAATAATAAATAATAATAGTAAAATAATAAAAAATCTGGGGAAATCTAAGCTCATCTGACACCAGGATCTGACAGGAATCTGACTCTGCATCTGACAGTCATCCTCTCACACAAAGAAAAGCACTGCATGCCAGGAATTCCAGGACACTGACTCTGGTTTACTGGAACAGTTAACAACAGGGCAGTGACCTATTAAAGGCATGAGGATGTTGAACAGGATCAAGAGCCTCTTGTCTAGTACCAGACCAATTCTTTTTCTGTTTTCAAAATGAAACTTCAAAGCACTCCAGTGTACCAGGGGGGTGCATTTGTTTTTCTGAGGCAATACAGTTTTCTTGCCTGGCATCAATTACACAGCCACTCTAACTACTGACGAGCTTGTCAGACAGCCTGCCATGAGAAATACACATTCCAACTCTTTCCCTTGTGCACTGCAGAGTTTAGAGACTTGAACAGATTTCTCATTTGCTGTCTTTTTTGGGACAGAGCATTACAGTGCACACAATTTCCCTCCATATGCATGCATGGCAGGGTGGTGCACTGGGCAGGAAGTACACACAAATTACATGTTAGCCCAAGGGACTGCACCATGAAGAGTGAGTGGATGCCAGACCCTGGAGTGTGACAGCCTGAGTGAACATGGGTCCAAGAACACTTGCACAGCTTCACTTCAGGAAAATCTGCTGTTCTTGCAAGCACAACTCAGAAACAAGACAACCAAGTCACAAGGAAGCAAGTGGTCTAGCTTACTTGCTCAATACTTTCTTGGGAAACCTGAAACTGGTCCATGGCCACAGAATCATCATCATCATCTTCCAAGAGTAACTCAGGATTGTCAAGAATAAACTGTAGGAAAACAGAGAGAGATCAAAATAGAGGAACAGAGCTATAACAGTCCTCAACACGGTTGTGTATGCAGCCCAGTGGTTGATATAAGCAATACTCAGCCAAGTTAAGTGACATCTCATTTATTGGGTCAGAAGTGCAAGTTCAGTCATTACAGCTCAGAAAAGGTAGCTATGAACTAAAAAGTATACCTCGGCCAAGTTAAGTGACATCTGATTTATTGGGTCAGGAAGTGCAAGTTCAGTCATTACAGCTCAGAAAAGGTAGCTATGAACTAAAAAGTATAGAATACAGAGAATAGGAATCTGCTAAACAATAAAAAAACCCCCAACAAACAACCAAATTTCTTTTGTACAATGCCACAGAAAAAAAAGTGTAACAAGAAATCACTTACCTTAAAGGCTTGGTCTAGGTTTCCTCG